TTAATTATATAAAACAAATATATTAAAAATAAATATTTTTGAGTGTAATTTTAAATTAATATTTAATTGTCTGCCATCATACATGCGTCTAATATATTTAAAAATATTTTTAGGACTGAACTTAACACCGGATAGGGACTAGTGCATTTGAGTTATCATATCTCATAATACCCTAACTGTGGTATAAATCTCGTGGTATCTATTAGTTTGATGTTAATCGAAAAATATTTTAACCTAAATGTTCATGGTTATTCGTGTGTTATTTATTTTTTTATTTAAAATATGAAAGTTATATATATATATTAAAAAAAAGAATTGAATGATTTTCAGTAAGATACAATTCAACATAATTATTTTCTTTTGTAGATAGATGCATAGAGATCATTTAGTTTTTTAAATGAAAATATTCTTTTTGATATACTAATCGATATAACATTATTTGGTACAAAAGAAATTATTTTTATTAAAAAATCATAAATTTAAGAGATATTTTCATCTAATAATAAATAAAGTATCAGAATAAAAGTAAATAATTTTAATTTTTTAAATGAAAATATTCTTTTTGATATACTAATCGATATAACCCATTATTTGGTACAAAAGAAATTATTTTTATTAAAAAATCATAAATTTAAGAGATATTTTCATCTAATAATAAATAAAGTATCAGAATAAAAGTAAATAATTTTAATTTTTTAAATGAAAATATTCTTTTTGATATACTAATCGATATAACCCATTATTTGGTACAAAAGAAATTATTTTTATTAAAAAATCATAAATTTAAGAGATATTTTCATCTAATAATAAATAAAGTATCAGAATAAAAGTAAATAATTTTAATTTTTTAAATGAAAATATTCTTTTTGATATACTAATCGATATAACTTTATTTGGTACAAAAGAAATTATTTTTATTAAAAAATCACGAATTTAAAAGATATTTTCATCTAATAATAAATAAAGTATCAGAATAAAAGTAAATGATTTTAGTTTTTTAAATGAAAATATTCTTTTTGATATACTAATCGATATAACTCATTATTTGGCACAAAAGAAATAATTTTTATTAAAAAATCACGAATTTAAAAGATATTTTCATCTAATAATAAATAAAGTATCAGAATAAAAGTAAACTAATATAATGAAGTAAAAGTGGATATAAAAGAATGAACAGTAAACATGAAAAAAATGAATTATCGTGTTATTACAATTATTGATATTAAAAAAAAATTCAAGGTTTCTAATTAAGGAATTATTAAAATTTTATAATTCACTTAGTAACAGTAGCGTGGAATTTGAATATGCGTGTATACGATTAGAAAAGAGGCTTGTCTAGTGTCAACATTTTAGTGGCCAGTGGCTCCTCCTCTACGGTATCATGTGATTTCCAACAGTTAGTTGCCAGTGACGCCACCTTGACGTCAATTGTTTTTCGTTTCTCACTGACTCCATGCCACGTCAATCGAATCGTTCCTTCGTAAACGTAAACGTGTTAACTCTTCGTATCAAGTATACTTTGTATTCTGATCCGTTCTAATCTTTTGTTCGTTCATTTTTCAGTTGGTTATGTATCGTTTCACCGACTGTTTTTACGTATCAGGAATAGAAGCTAAAGCAGTGGGAACTGTTTTAGAAGATAATTATGCGGAGAATAATTGGAAGATAATTATGCAAACGTCAAGAAAATAAAAGTCCGTATACGTGTATGCCATCTTAATGAACTCTTCAGATATTCAATATTATTACATTATTTTGCATACATAATATAAATCATATTTTTCTTGATGTGTACGTACGTATAAATATGTATGTAGATTTATTCGGGCAGTGAAACGTTAAATAGGTTAGGTATATTAAACTTAAACGAATGCATAATGTATAGGTAAAATCATGGATTCTTTTAAACAAGATAAATAAATCATATACGTACATTTTCCTTAAGCTCAAGAGTCTTGTGTTTTGTTAATTGAAATTAGTAAATGCAATAAGTATTAAAGTACGAATAATACAAATTTTGATTTAATATCATGACTATATATTAATATTTTAATAATATGACGATTATTATTTATACGTTCATTAAGTGTAGCGGTTGACGAGTTAATAACATATGATTATGTGTATCGTCACCAGTCAGTAAAATGCAGTATGCATTTATTCTATCATATAAAGAGTACTCTACATAACGTATAAATTTTCATTTCCTGTTTTATGACTACAAAATAATACGAAGATATATGTATAGAAGTTTTTAAAAACTTTGTCAAAAAGTTATAAGAAAAATAAAGCATGTGAGAAAATTAGAATTAAATCAGAATTAAATTAGAATTAAATCAGAATTAAATTAGAATTAAATTAGAATTAAATAAGAAAGAGAAAGGACGAGAAAATTATAATGACTCTATTTTTAACGTGAAATAATTTTACTAAAATTAATATTCCAGTTGAATAAATTCTATAATAGCATCATAATAACATTAACGTATTATCCGATTTATCCAGTAAAAGAATTTGTTATATAACGTAATTAATTCACTAAATCGATAAGTACACAAATACCATTTACCAATTTCTGACCCATAAATTTAGGATAATTATTCGTAACTAAAATCATTTAAAGAAAAGCATAATTTTCATATTTTAATTATTGTCATATTATAAATATCTTTCTTTTTCAATTGCATCATTATTATATAATTAATATTATAATAGACCATTCGATATATTTAGTTATAGTAAATATTTTTAGTTAAATTAGTATGTTTCTCGGCAAACAATCCTATTGGTTTTTAATAAAAATTTATTCTATTATTTTTATTTTTATCCGGGGTTTAGAGCCGTATCAACCACTGGGTGGATTATTAGCAACTCAGAATCGGGTTTATAATTGGTTATACACTTAGGTGATACAGTGTGTTTTGGGTTGATCTTTTGTCCTTCAGAATGTCTTTCAGAGGGACTTATTTACCATAAACTGTGTATAATTGAAATATTTTTCATACATTTAGCTTAAATTATTATAATATTTGATAATATCAAAAATTGATAATATAATTTTCTGCAAATAATATATATAAATATATAATCGATTACTGGCTGCAATATTTTAATTTAGCAGCTTTATTCTTCAAACACAATATTATTTTCTGCTTTTTATAAAAACACATCGATGGTAAGGTATTAAAAATACTAAAATTTGTAATAAAAAAGAATAATAAAATTTTATGTAACAATATTATGCGTAGAACTTTCTTTAATTGTGTCCTGAAATTGTTGGACAATTATGCACTAATCATAATTATTGATTGCATCGTGTAAAATTAATATTCTTTACTAATTATACTTTGATATAATTAACTCGAATCACTCGTGTAATGAAACCAAGAAAATGATATTAATGAAGAAAATGATATGAATCATTAATCTTAGCACACTTTCTCTTCCCTTGTATAATTTTTAATAACAATTTTATAGAAATTTGTGTGAACTAATTTAGTGAAATAATTATTTCATTGTGAATTAAAAAATTACGAATTTAATTTATATCACAGACACATTTTAAATACAATTAAAGAAACGAATGAAATAATCGAATATTAATATTCCTTAATATTGTTTTAATAATTTATAAACAATTTGAAAATATTTGAAATTGTTAGATTCAAAAATTATAATTACTTCCAAGAATTCATATAAATATAATACAAAATATCAAATATTTTATACGAAAAAAAAAATAATTTCGTATGTCCTTATTATGTAACTATATTTTAAAGAGTATATAAGAAAAAGAAATAAAGTTACAATAAAAATAAAACTATATAAATATTAGATAATTAATATGAAAATTATATAATATAAAAATAAAACTATATGAATATTAGATCGTTAATATATATGATTTAATAAAATATTTAAAAAATCAAACATACAAATATTTTGACTTAACCATTTGCGATATTAATTAATCGATATTAATTAACCCTTTGCACTCGAGAGGTAACTCTCGTTGTCAGTCACCGTTTGTTTCAATACCTGGAAGCCTGAGTAACGAGTATGAGATATTACTAGATTAGAAATAACTCCACATGAAATATTGAAATGAAATATACGTGATTTTCTCTTTTTATTTCAACATAAATGGTATCACTGAAATAAGAAAAATATAAGAAAAGCTTCGAATTGTTATATCTTCATAACGAGGAAATTTTCCAGTGTACAGGGATAATAATTTGAACAACCAATTGCATTTCCTATCACTTTAAACGTGGAATTGGTACTGTTAATTTTAATCATCTTACCATTATTCGATACCTTTCCTAATCCTTTGGACTCGAAGACTTTTTCGTCGTAAACAGCAATTCGAAGCTTTTCTTAGATTTTCAAAAGCTCGCTGATACTCTTTATGCCAAAATAAAAAAAGAAAATTGTGCATTTGTATGAGAAATGAACGAATAGAATTATTTTATTTCGATATTTCGCGCGTAGTTGTTAATATAATTATCATTATTCATTATTTGAGTTATAGCATTGAAGCAAGACTAAGAGTCACCTCTCGAGTGCAAAGGGTATTTCGCGCGTAGTTGTTAATATAATTATCATTATTCATTATTTGAGTTATAGCATTGAAGCAAACGGTGACTAAGGGTCATCTCTCGAGTGCAAAGGATTAATATGTCAAATTTAAGATAATGTAACGGTGTTCGAGGTATCAAAATCAAATAATTCTACGTGTTAATTATTATACGATTTCATATTTACTGCTCAAAAAATTATCATCAGCTTTATAGCAGAAAATCTTTAAATCCTACTCTTCTTTAGCCAAAAAATCGTCGAGTGCAAAGGGTTAATAAGCCAAATGGCTCAGAGGGATAGTACAATAAAAATGTTTAAATGTAGAGAATATTAATTATAAAACGTAATATACACTGTGAAGATCAAACCTAAATTAATCGATAGAATAGTCCGATAAACAGAAAATGATAAAAATTACTCACCATTTCACCAAATAATTCTCCTTGATCAGGGCAATTTGGGCTGGATGGTGCAACGATATGGATCCATCCACGTCTGTGCTCTCTAACCGGAAGTAGAACGCTATGGACCACGCATCTCGTGTCTTTTGCCAACCGATTTATCACGCACATTAATATCGATTGTCGGACCTTCTTTGTGCCAAAAGCTTCCTCCGGGAACGGCACTGGTTGCAATAAAGCACCAAGTTCTGGCCTCCAATCGGCATACTCTGATCTGAAAGAGGATCGATAATTAACTCTCGAGGTCTCCGAAATTTCAGTTCATGAAAACGCAATTTAAATGGAAGGTATATCATCGAAATCAGAGTAAAATGAAAATGGAAAATGGATCAACGATTATTACTGAATATTTTTTCCGATCTCGACGGAATGGGTTTTGGAATAGAAATTATAGTGATTCCATAGAATGGATATTATACTGATTCTACGTATATTAATTTTGTAATTATAGTTCTTTCTTTCTAAAACTTTTCTAGGATCGACACTCGCATAGATTTCGCAATTTTGCAACTCACGATGACTTTTTGTTCGACTTACTAAATAAATAAAATCTCCTTTTGTTAGATGCGTAAGTCTAATTAGAGTTTTGAAATTTTAGAAGAATTTTGAAATCGACATAGAAACGATTTATATCGATCTTCAACAAATTGGGAAAAATTTATTGAAATTGACGATCAACGATTACGATTTTAATAGTTAATCGTCAATGTTAATAAACGATTATAGTAAATATGTAATTTCTAACTGCGGTTAATGATTATAATTAAAATATTTAATCATCAACAAAATATTTTAATTATATTTTGTTGTTGTTTGCGATTGTAATTAAAATATTTAATCATTAATCGCAATTCACGATTAAGCTAGATATTTAATCATCGATCGTGATTAACGATTATAATTGAAATATATTATTGACGATTTCAATAATTAATCGTTAATGATAATAAATTATTATAGTAAGTATGTAATTTTTAACTGCGATTAACGATTAGAATTCAGATATTCAATCATCAATCGCAATTGACGATTAATCTAGGTACTTAGTCTTCGATCGTGATTAATGATTATAGTTGAAATATATTAATGACCATTTCAATAGTTAATCGTTATTGACAATAAATTATTATAGTAAATATGTAATTTTTAACTGCGATTCACGATTAGAATTCGAATATTTAATGATGAATCGCAATTAACGATTAAACTAGATATTTAATTTTCGATCGAGATTAACGATTATAATTGAAATATATCATTGACGATCGCCATTGATGATTTCAATAATTAATCGTAAATAATAATGAACTATTATAGTAAATATGTAATCTTTAACTGCGATTAACGATTAGAATTCAAATATTCAATCATCAATCGCAATTGACGATTAATCTAGGTAATTAGTCTTCGATCGAGATTATTATAATATATTACAATTAAAATATATAATCATCAAACGCAATTCACGATTAAGCTGGATATTCAATCTTTGATGGAGATTAATGATTATAATTGAAATATATCATTGACGATTTCAATAGTTAATCGTAAATAACAATAAACAATTACAATAAATATATAAATTTTAACTGCAATTAGAATTCAAATATTTATATATATTTATTATATTATTATTATATATATTTATTATATATTCGAATCATGAATCGCAATTAACGATTAAACTAGATATTTAATTTTCGATCGAGATTAACGGTTATAATTGAAATATATCATTGACGATTGCCATTGATGATTTCAATAATTAATCGTAAATAATAATAAACTATTATAGTAAATATGTAATCTTTAACTGTAATTAATGATTAGAATTCAGATATTCAATCATCAATCGCAATTGACGATTAATCTAAGTACTTAGTTTTATTATTATTTAGTCTATAATATATTATAATCAAAATCTATAATCGTCAATCGCAATTAATAATTAAAATAAGAATTTAATTGGGAATTGACGAGTAAGTACCAAAATAACTGTATTTGTAAATAATTGAAACTTTCTCCGAAATTTCACATTCGATTGTTAGTCTTTCTACAATTAAAAGATTTATTCAAATTATAAACTCGAAAATAATTTCAGCTAAAATCCTAACTGCATCGGAATTTTAATTTAACCCTAATTAAAACTAACAACTAATACTTTGCAATTAACATTTTTAACCAGCGATTGACGATTAATTTCTGTTGATACATCTATATTTCCGTATATCCGTGGCTATATATTGGTACAGGAGATCCCTACAGAGGGCAGTACGTTCAAATCTTTTAATACTCCAGTAGTTTGTACCTCTATCGCTCTGTAGGTATTCATTGGCTTCATTCTACAATTTTATATCTCTCCATTGAAACCGTGTGTCTGTGCGAACGTGTTACGAATTTGTTAAAATATAATTCCAAGTTTCTTTCAACAAATCTCGCTTCACGAATTTCGTTTATCGTTTAACCTAATCGCGATATTTCGATAATTAAAATTTCGTACCATCATTGAACCTCGTTTATTCGAACTCGTTGCAGGATAAATCTTTCGTATAACGAAATTCGTATAATAGAAATAAACCAATTCTCGAGTTACCCTATTAACTATGAACTTTTTATTAAATAACAAAAGTTCACGTTTGGACAAATGGATTCAATCAACCGGAGTCGAGCACATCAGGCACTAACCAAAATTTCGTTCCAACGAATGGAGTTTTTAATTGGCTTGACATTCTCGCCTATTTTGGAATCTCGTTTAACCCACTTCTCTTCGTTTGGTGAAATGTTTTAAGCGAATAGTTCTTTTATTTGTCTCAAGGAAGTGCAGGGTGCACGTGCATTCTTTGGTCCCAGAGAACCACTTATCCTTTTTATATTCGTTGATTAAGAAATCAATTAGAGATGACTAGAATTAGAAACCGGTGTCTGCGATGGGTTGGTCAACTCGCATGCATGTAAGGCGAAAATGGTCACGACCTAGTCACGTCAAGGGAGATCAAGCAATGGTCACTTGCGTTTTATTTCCATGACACGTGATATATCTTTTTCTATGGGACAGATAGAATTGACAATGACAAATTCAATTGGATAATTTTGTACTTTAAACCCTTAATCTTTTGCGGTTCTGCGTCCCAAGCGACGGGGCATTAATTTTATTCTGGTAGGTACAATGTCTCGTCTGCCATGACAAGGAATTTATTTCAACCAATCTTTCGTTTAGATTGCATGTTCGGATTGTAAGTGGAATGTTATAGTATTATTTCTCTTTCGTATCTTGCAAGTACATAATAATATATACACACATATTTATTTATATTAAATTAAATTTTAATTAAATTAATTAATTTGTATGTGTGTTTTTATATATCTTCTATTATATACACTGTAATTGTAATTATATATACTCAATTATAAATATTTATCTCTACATATATATATATGTGTGTGTGTGTATAACTCCATAAATATTATTATACGATTTTCTCTCATAAAGTTATAGCTATTCAAAGATTAACGCAGCATAGATTCAATTTTGCACATTAGTCTAATACCATATAAATTAGGTCAAATTTTCTAAAAGCATTAAACTTATTGGTCGTGAATTAACCCTCTATGGACCGAATATAATAATATAATAAATAATATAATAACGTAAAATCAACAAATATCAATCAAAAAATTCAGCAGTTTTGACAATATTGTTATAACGAATTCATATTGAAAGTTTGAATTAACAACGTTTGTACTATTGTGCCAAGATAATGTGCAATAGATAGACAAGATAATTTCCCACGCCATCTTGTGGAAAAAAGATCATAGGGGCCATAGAGGACCTAACCTATCATGATCGAATAACCGGTAAATGAAAAAGAATTAGAATTCTTAAAAATGGATGCACGGGAGATATTGTAAAAATAATTATAAATATATCGAAAGAAAAATCGCGAACTGGAGTGATGAAAACGATAACGTTGAATGCAGTATTTTAATAAAATACCCATACATTAGCATGTAACTTGAAAGTTACACAGGCCCATAGAGGATTAATTTTTATGAATTTTATGAAATTTTGAAATGGCATTGTTTCATTAACACTCTACAAAGCCCGACTTTTTATTAATTTTTTCCGGATCGTAAATCGTTCGGCACATGGAGAAATCGATGAATAAAATTACACATGTTCGTGAACTTTGCGAATGCGTGAAAGAATTCGTTATCACTGACGTACACTATGTCCCTCATTCCTATGTCATCTCAAATGCCAATTCACCAGTGTGAGGATTGTTTTCTAGTATGCGTGTGAGATGGCGTGAGAGTGGTGAGAATGGGAATAGGTTGGCAGTGGAAAGAAAATTAGGTTGGTAGTATTGTGGAATGAACATTGTGAGTACGAAACGTGAGAAAGTATAGAGAGTGCAGTTATACCCAAGTAGTGGTATTCGTTAATATCGAATAAAATATATATATAAATACATTATATGTACGTATTCATTATAAATCCACCTTAACCATTAATATTGGATGCTTTCAAATTTGCAGAATACCGAGAGAGTTAATTAGCTAATGTATTATTAAAATGGGACACCGTGTATCGCGTGTCAGAAGAATTTTCCCAGTCACCTGGATTGTGGTATTACAGCGAAGAGGACGAAAGATGACGAGATATGACGTTGTTACGACTATGAGCACATGATACGTACGCGATATTTAGCACCATCAGGTAGCAGTTGAGTGGAGGCAAAGTCGGCGACTTCCCGTCTTCCGGCACGGAACGATTGGCCACTTCGAATCTGCAATTAGACAAACCGGTGAGAAAATTCGCTTTGACGGGAATAATTCGTCGGTTTCGCCAAATTACGCTTGATCCGTGAGCCGCCAGCAGGTTTTCAACTACAATTTATCTCAGTCGACGCGACACGCTAGCTTCTTCCGCAGAGGCGTGCCTTTGACGCGTCGTGATGTATGAAATTTTAAATTTCGCGCCTTTTTTAATATTCCCGGCGCGCGTGAAGAGCTCGCGTATTCACCAGCTGGCAGGAAAATAGGAATCACGTCAAGTGGCGAATAAAAAGATTGCACTTCGAACATTTTTGCTTTCGTTCGCGCGTAACGGTATTTTTGTTAAGTCATGGTTAATAAAAGTGTGTAATATATATATCATGGATACTGCACGAAGGTCAATGTATGTTATGTGAGACGCTGAAACCAAGGATACTGAGATTATTTCGTTATATAAGAATGTGAGAATAACAAGCAAGATGTGAATCGTGTATTCGATTTAACAAATATTTTTCTTTCTTCTTTTCTGCTAATTCAGAAATGGTGGCCAAACATAGTCGTTGTTGGAATCATGTTTTGTCCATTGGAAATATTTACTAGTTACGTTTGTCGTTAGCAGCATATATACGATAGTGCCCTTTTTATTGTCGCACCTTCTGCCCGTTTATCTGTCGCGGGGCTATACACAGCAATTTTTGGAACTGCTTTCGGCTACTTTCTTTTATTTTATTCGTAAAAAGAAAGCCGAATTCTCGAAGCATTTACCTGCCCGGGTAACTGTCGCGTCGTGGACTGTGCGACAGTTAAACGGGTATATCTGTACGGTTTATCCTATGACTATAACACTGTGCAAAAATTGCGAGGGAGCACCCATAACACGATATTCTTGTAAAACGATTTCCATATCGCACGGTTTCACAAGTTTTATATTAATGTTTATCTTATTTTTTATTTAATATACGAACTGTTAAAAATATTAAGAATATTCAGAATTGTGTGGTATTACATATATATGTTTTGTATTCCTTCTAAATTTCGCTTAATTTGCACTGCGATTTAATTATGGAAAATTGTCGATTGAAAAAAGTTGTTTAAAAATTTTTAGTTTATTCGTCACTCGTAAATAATCGTAGAATTTTGACGACGAATAGGAGATACAAGTAGGAGTTATATACGTTTCTACAAATTAATCCTTTATTGGTTTACTGATAATTCCGTTTACAACTTTGAACTAATATGATATTTCCAAACTACTAATTTCTTGATTAATTTATCTTATTTGAGAAGTTCGCGCGTGATATCGAATATTCGTGAATGATTAAACTCGATCTTGTTCTGAAAAGGACATTGATTACAAAATTTGTTAATCCTGTGAATAAGTAATATAAACATTTCAAATTTTGAACCGTACTTTTCAAATACATTGTATACAACAATAATTACAATTACCTGTATTCATTAATTAATATAATATAATATAATATAATATAATATAATATAATATAATATAATATAATACAATAT